AATACAAATTGCTAGGGGAACAGTAGTAGTACACTTTATCAAAAATTTGTATTAATGATCTTTTAATGATCTTTAGGGTCAAAGTCAAGTATTGTATAATTTAGGAAGTTAAGGCTTAATAGATGATTAAAATCTTTAAATTATAATATTTTGAATTAATTTACTAAATGAAGTTAAATAAACTTAAATTTATTTACAAAAACAAATGAATGAGCTAAATGATTTTCAAATCAAACAAAATGAGGAGGAAACAATATTTGCCATTTAACTGTTAAGCAGAATGATTAAACAAAAAAAAAACAAAGCTAAAAGAAAATTATGGTTTTTCTTATTGAAGATTGTTAGAAAATGTAGAAAATCTTTTTTTGTTGCCAAAACAGTAAAAAAAAAAGATCCAAACATGGCATCACTATATGCACTCCTCAATATGCAAACTAGTATGTGTGCACAGGACCACATCTATTTTAAGTGGTAAGCATTCTTAAACTTTAACCCCTATTTTCTGAGTACAGTAGAATGGTCTGTTAAAATCAGATTGTTTGAATTGCTCTACAATTGGAGGTTGAACCCATATTTGCTAACTAGGAGAATAAAATCTGTTCTACTCAAAATGGAATATTTTACAGTACCACTTTTGATTATTCACATTGAAAAGTGTAAAAAGCAACCATTATTGGAAATGGGGTTATTTCTTTGGGGTTGTGACAGTAATTTATGGTTTGGTTTAATGAATTCTGGAAAAACTTTTGTTCATTTTATTGCATGAAAATTACTGTTGTGACAATGGCATTTTGCTAGGGAAATGGCAAAAATTTTTTTATTGGTGTTCATTTTAAGGAGAGTTGACTGTATTTACACTTATTTAAGTTGTCCAACTATTATGCAATGTGATATAAACATGTATTGTAAGTATAACTTGCAACTTAACCTTGAAGAGGCAACTGAAAGTTAATTGTATGTTTATAAAGTCAAAAGAGCTAAACAAATGCGTACGACATCATAAATACCAGTAAAGTAACATAACAGTGATAACTATAGTTTTTCAGCTATATATAAAATACTGTTTCAATAGAGGATACTGCTCTCACCTATTTCTTATAGGCAATACATTGCTCCTATCAAGACAAGGTTTGACCATCCTGATATATACAGTATTCTTGCTAATTCAGCCTCTCAAGTACAGTCGACCCCCGTATAAGATCATTGATTATTCCGTTTTATATGAATTCCATGTTGTACGAGTCACTTAGATTTTACAAATACGTGTACCGGGCTGTGAACGGCTCACGTATTTGTAAAATTTAAGTGACTTGTACAACATGGAATTCATATAAAACGGAATAATCAATGATCTTATACGGGGGTCGACTGTACTTGAGAGGCTGAATTAGCAAGAATACTGTATATATCAGGATGGTCAAACCTTGTCTTGATAGGAGCAATGTATTGCCTATAAGAAATAGGTGAGAGCAGTATCCTCTATTGAAACAGTATTTTATATATAGCTGAAAAACTATAGTTATCACTGTTATGTTACTTTACTGGTATTTATGATGTCGTACGCATTTGTTTAGCTCTTTTGACTTTATAAACATACAATTAACTTTCAGTTGCCTCTTCAAGGTTAAGTTGCAAGTTATACTTACAATACATGTTTATATCACATTGCATAATAGTTGGACAACTTAAATAAGTGTAAATACAGTCAACTCTCCTTAAAATGAACACCAATAAAAAAATTTTTGCCATTTCCCTAGCAAAATGCCATTGTCACAACAGTAATTTTCATGCAATAAAATGAACAAAAGTTTTTCCAGAATTCATTAAACCAAACCATAAATTACTGTCACAACCCCAAAGAAATAACCCCATTTCCAATAATGGTTGCTTTTTACACTTTTCAATGTGAATAATCAAAAGTGGTACTGTAAAATATTCCATTTTGAGTAGAACAGATTTTATTCTCCTAGTTAGCAAATATGGGTTCAACCTCCAATTGTAGAGCAATTCAAACAATCTGATTTTAACAGACCATTCTACTGTACTCAGAAAATAGGGGTTAAAGTTTAAGAATGCTTACCACTTAAAATAGATGTGGTCCTGTGCACACATACTAGTTTGCATATTGAGGAGTGCATATAGTGATGCCATGTTTGGATCTTTTTTTTTTACTGTTTTGGCAACAAAAAAAGATTTTCTACATTTTCTAACAATCTTCAATAAGAAAAACCATAATTTTCTTTTAGCTTTGTTTTTTTTTTGTTTAATCATTCTGCTTAACAGTTAAATGGCAAATATTGTTTCCTCCTCATTTTGTTTGATTTGAAAATCATTTAGCTCATTCATTTGTTTTTGTAAATAAATTTAAGTTTATTTAACTTCATTTAGTAAATTAATTCAAAATATTATAATTTAAAGATTTTAATCATCTATTAAGCCTTAACTTCCTAAATTATACAATACTTGACTTTGACCCTAAAGATCATTAAAAGATCATTAATACAAATTTTTGATAAAGTGTACTACTACTGTTCCCCTAGCAATTTGTATTCATGTGAGTTGACTGTAGTATGTACCAAGTTTGAAAAGAAATTGTGTGAGTACACAGAAGCTACTGTATAAACCTAGGTAATCAGCAGTTTGGCTAGTGTGGGTATATGTATTTGTATAAAGCTCTTCTAATAACAAAAAATTAAAAAAATATCAGAATATTCAGAAAAATTATATGAATTATTTTTATGTACTAATTTACTATTTCACTGTACTTTTTATCCTTCTTTTGAAAAAAGACAAATGAAAATAATGCATATTTAAATATTAAATTATTTAAAGTTTAATAAAGTAAAATGCAGCATTTGAATAACAGACATTCAAATATCTAAACTTCATTTAAAAAAAAAAAAAAAAACATTAGTTAGTGAAAACTGTAATAGTAAAAATTGTTGTGACATTATAAAAATGATAATTTATATTGATAATAAATATCAACTTTATCCTTCATATTATAAAATTTATACTTTAATATTGTTGCACTCTCTCTTTCATAGTTGCTCCTCAGGTTATAACTGGTTCTATACCATTAATTCTATTTATTCATAAAATTAAATTTATATAACTGTTAAATGTATGCTTTTGACATTTTACAGGATATAACACTTTTCTTTCATTTAATTCATAAATATTAGAATGATTTTTTTTCTCTTTTTCAAGAACTGAAAACTTAAAAGGCATAAATGTCCACAATCTATGT